CGGCCGCTGTGGGGGAGGGGCGGGCCGGGCCGGCGCTGAGGGGAGCTGGGGGAGACGGGGCTTCGTCCGCCGGTGCGCGGAGCCGGGCCTTGCGCGGCGGGGCCGGGCCGGTTCTGCCTTCTTCTATGGGGCGGGGATGGTGACCCGAGTCCCCTCTCCCGGGCGCGGAGCTGGGGCACGGCCCTCAGGGGCGCCCCCCCCCACCACCAGCTGCCCCGGCCTGCCCTGTCTCCGCCCGGGGAGCTGGGTGGCGCGTCCCCAGACGGGTCTTCATTTTTATTTTTCCATCTCCGCCGCTCTGGGGAGGCTCCGGGGGCTGCCAGCCCCGCTGCCCGGCCTTTAGGGCAGGTCCTGGCCTCTCCTGCTTTCCCCGCCGGGCGCGGCGGCTCCCCTCCTCCGCTGGGGTCCGGGGGAGAGCCGGGCCTGCCGCCGGTGCCTGGCCCCCGTTCCCTCGGAGGCGAGAGCAGCCGGGCCGGGCCGCCTCCGGCGGTGCTGGGTGGGTTGGAAGCTCCATTTGCTGCGAGGGCTGTTCGGAGGGTGCCCTGAAGCGGCTGAGGGAGAGTGGTGCCGGAGCGGAGACCGTGGCGTTCCCCCTCTCCTCGGGAGGCACAGCCGTGGAGCCCTGCTTGCAGGAGATGTAGGCGCCTGGAGCTGTTGGTGTGTCCTCCCATTTTGTCTGACAGCAGGGGCGGAGGGAACGCTTCTGTCCTACCTCAGTGTACCCCCTGCACCTCCATTACACGACGTGAAAACACAGAACTTCTTTTTCCTTTTTTCCGTGTCTGATTTCGGGATTATTGAAAGTTAGGGGTAGCCTCTCACAAAGAAGCTTCTGCACATTAGAGCAATGAGGAGCTTTTCTTCTGGCCAACCTTCACCTTCGTTTGTTGTTTCTGAAATAGAACATCTGGCCAACTGAAAGTTTTGTGGGTGTTTTGTTCTGTGAGTGTTTTCATAGCTTCTTTGTTTTGGTTTGGTTTTTTTGGTTAGGCTGCTCACAAGTGTATCTTACTTGTCTGTGGATGTAGCAGACAGCTTAGAGTAGGTAGAGAATGTTTATCTCTCATCTTTACTCTTACAGTGCCTCTCACCAAGCTTTTGTACAATGGGACAGCTTGACCGAATTTGGATAAAACATAATAGACTCGGCATCTGTTTTCAGTAGAGTTGCTGTAGTGAATCTGAAAAAATGAGAACATCTTTAAAGATACTGGAAATACACATGACAGGAAAGTTTTGAAAGAGTAAAACGGCACGTTACTGTTCCCTGTGATAGAGACTAGTGCTTTGTGGTTGGTACCTGCATCTTTTGACCGCAAAAAAATTTTTTATATGCATTTGCATCTTTGATACTGTGTGTGTTTCCTGTTGTTAGGAGTGCAAAGAGAGGCCTTAAGAGTGGAAATGAGAAGTCAAGTCTTAAAGGCGTAGCATATCATATTTTGACAAAAACAATAAATACGTAGTGGCTTTGTGACCTGTGTCTTACACGCACCAAACATTTAGACTGACACTATTGCTTTCTCCAAGTAGTTACTTTAGTGTATTTGTAATGCTTAAGATGATTAGGAAGTAAAGTCTGGTTTGTGTTATTAAGACATTAGCTTAAGTTAATTTGCCTCAATTCATTCTAAGCACGTGGGAGACCAAAACTTAGTTTTCAGAGTGGTGCGAGAAAAGTTTTCAGGTTATGTTTTCTATAGAATCCATGTTTTTAGAATTGCAATTCAAACATGTTAAATTAGGTCAACTTGAACTCAGTAAAAATGTTAACTTTTTTATAGAGGAAAAAAATTAACAGAAGACTATATTGATTCCCATAGTAATTATTTTTCTTTTGCTCCTAACATAAACATTCTTAATTTAGATTACCTTTATTTTTCTCAGATATCTACCTATACAGAGAAAGGTTGGTGGATATAGTCCTTAAAATGGCAATGAGCTAGCTAGAATAAACCTTGAACTTTGTTGTTATGAGGACACCACTCCTTAAGCCCTTGGGAGAGCTCAATGACAGGAACAAAAACTACATGAGCAAAGCTCTGTGTATGAGAGGAAGGGGGAGTGGCTTTTCCTGGTATGGTGTCATCCTGCAGTGATGCAATAAAAAGTCTGTAAAAGTTAAAATTATTTCTTGGCTTCCTAAGTCAATCTGCTAAGTTTTCACATCAAAAACATATTTTTTTATTGTTTTTAAAAAATCTTAATTCTAGGACTTTGAATTAATCTCTGAATGCAGGAGGTTGATGCAGTAACTGTATTGTTGAGTCTTGGGAGTCTTGGTGCTCTGTTTCATAGTGACTGCTGGAGGAGGAGTATATAGACCTTATCACTTAATTTGGGCTATCCAGTCCGGTATAACAAATCATATCATTAAATCTTTAAGGAATTCTTATTGATGATTATGTCTCCAAATGTGCAAAATTTAGAACTCTTTTATTTATCTCTCTTCTTGTGCACTGCAAGATGATCTGTGGTCTATTTGAGAAAATAAGCTTTGTCTCATTTTTGCTACCCATTCTTACAGTTCACGTAATCAATTTTCAATGAAGCTTCACATGTAAGCCAATAACGTGGAAATCTGTAGCCCCGCAGAAGAGGCTTGTTCTTATAAGAAAAAGTTGTTGCTGGATGATGAGACTCCTTCCATAGTCTTAATAAATTCCAGCAGTCTGATTTTCTTTACAAACGTGACTCTCCTGAGCTGGGTCACGTTGATACTGATAAACTTGCCTATGATGATTTATTTTAAGGTGGTTTTACAACGATGAGCTTACTTATGGGTATCTGTTCTCAACTCACATCTTCAGAAGAAGCTTCTGAAGAAACTTCTTCAGAAGAAGCTTCTGAAAAGGTTAAGATGTGAGCCACTAGAGCAGCTAGGATGTTTGTGCCTTGCGTATGCTCTTATGTATAAAGAAAGTGCTGATATTGTGAGACTCTGAAAAACCATCTAAATAGCAATAATATCTGTCACTTAGTTCAAAAAGTGGCTCTGTCCTAAGTTGCCTTTGAGGTCTGATGTTAGATCCTCTGAGACATTTCATAATAGTCCTATAAATAAACTGTTCCTTGGTGTCTTGGTAAAGAAGTATGAGAATATTTATGAGAATATTTAATATGGGTAAGGTGGTCTTAGCATGACCGATCTTGTATTGTGTCCTACTTCTTTCTTTTCAGTATAATTTTCTAATTTAAGTTCTGTTTGGTTTTCTTTTGTTTATTTGTGGGGGTTTTTATTATTTAGTTGGGTTTTTTTCTTCTGTGATAGCCCTTCTTTGGTACTTAAACCACTTGCGGCTAAAGAGAATCTATGCAATACTTTGTTTTGAGTTAACCCAGGTGCTTGCTCCCTGCCATATTTTTACCCCTTTCTAAAGGTACTTTGTCAACACACCATTGTGTTGGGTTGTATTCAGTGTTGAATCTGAAAAGGACAAATCTTGTGAAACCTTCTGGGTGTTTTACATCCCAAACCGTGCTGTCTAGTGAATACATCAGACTAAGGTGTTGCGGTCTTTCAGCACTGCAGATATGTCAGTGTATTAGATTGCTCTAACAGGTTCTATTTAAGAACAATTCTAACAACTTGTAATTTAAAGTTAGGTTATATAAAGCTTATTTCTTTATAATCCTCAGATGTGTGTACCAACTGACATTTCCCAGCTTTTTAATGTCCAAGTATTTTTTTCCAATTCCATATCTGAGCAGAACTAAGGAAAAGGCCTCTTGGCTTTCTTGATGAAATGAAGTTAGAATCTAGTGGCATAACTTCTCAATACACCTCTTGTGCTGCTGCTCAGTGTTTTTCTTCCTCCTGCTGTGTGCAGAAAACTGTCTAAGTTATGTTCAGTTACAGTTGTAGCTGTTAGATGAGGATGGTAGCTTGTCTTTGAGCAACTAGTTTGAAAGAGTAGATGTTCTAGCTTCAGGGATGATTTTCTCCCTTCCCCACCCCATCCCTTGTCCGGTGTGTCCTCCTTGCTTCACCTTCCTCTTCCCCGTCTCCAAAAAGCTCCAAACCCAAAGTTGTGAATAATAATCATATCGAGCAAGGAACTCCTGTAGCACCTAGAAAATGTGCTCATAGAACAGTCTCTGGTTAGTTCTGTATGTGTGCACAATTAGGCATGGTCGTCTTTTAAAAATTCTTGTTCTCTATTCCAAAAATTCAGTGAAGTGAGTAAAATAGGATCTTTCCAACGGTGTTGGTGAGACTGGCAGAAGAGCTTTCATCCTTAACAGGTGAAATGAACAATGGGATGAAGTGTGTGAAGAGACCTCGCATTAACACAGAGTTATGAAAATCATTGTGTAGGTGAATCCTGTGCTGAGGAAGCACGAGACTGAAATGCAGTTCCTGGCTTTTCTGATACAAAACTTAATTTTCAGCATTCCAGGTGGAAATGTAAGACTATTGCTCACATTTGTGAGGAAAACTCTTGAAAAACTATACATGTAAGTTTAGGTTTAAAAAAAAAATAAAAAAAAAATCTTAAAGCTATAAAAAATGAGAAGATTGAAATTTGGAGAGGGAGTTCTGCATAACAGTTACGAAAATTTCATCTGCTCTGACGAGAAATCTGCCTGCAGGCTCACTGATTGCGAAGTCTGGAATACAGCAGGTGGTCCAAGTGCAAAAAAAAAAAAAAAAAAAAGGCCTAACTGTAGGTGTTTGAGGCTAAAATAGCAAACTCTGGGAGTTCCTCTCCAGTTTTGGACAGAAACTAGTGATTCAGGAATGGGAATTTTGGCACAGGGGGGGCCAGACGCCCAACTCTAGTAACATCCAAAATTGTAAACACCAAATCTATCATCTAATTTCATTAGTTACCTTCCAAAAAAAAAAAAAAAAAAGGCCTAACTGTAGGTGTTTGAGGCTAAAATAGCAAACTCTGGGAGTTCCTCTCCAGTTTTGGACAGAAACTAGTGATTCAGGAATGGGAATTTTGGCACAGGGGGGGCATATTGAAGAGAACAAGCATTACAGCTAGGTAATCTTCTATTTCTCCTTTTCTTTTAGGTTTGGAAGAACGTTGTTCTCAGACCCCCAGAAATCTGGATTTTTTAACAGAGTGCTACCTTAAGGATTATAAGGAATTGATACTTGTAGCTTTCTTGCAATTTATTTTTTGGTATTTGTACCTCTCTTTTTGTAGTTCTAGATCAAGAAAGAGCATGAGCACAGTAAGTATTTTATTACTCAATGCAAATGTGATTCTTAAAACGTGTTTTTTATGGTACATATATAAATATTTTTAAGAGTTTGTACTAAATACATGGGAGCATATGAGTATTAAAACTTCATATTCTGTAATGCTTAAGATGCTTAATCTCTCTAGGTGCTAGCAGTAGTTCAGAAATGCTTACAGTGTGATCAAAAACATCAGGTCAGAACTGATTCCAGTGGTAGACTGGACATGAATATATGATGTAATTGTGAACCAGCTTTCTCACTTGAAAAGCATCACAATAGGTTTTTTCCTTTGTGACCCAACTGGTAAGAGATCTGGGGTGATGTCTTGTGCTTGATGCAACTTGTTCAGGTAGGAATGACCCATGCCACCATTCTTTGCATATTACAGCCGTTCAGGGGAGTGTTTTGTGTACCCTTGTGTGCTTTCATTGGTGCTGCAAAGATGAGGGCTGCTCTGAAAGAAAATGCTATGGCTTTGTTGTCTCTTAGACTCAACGAAAGCGCCGTGGAGGAGCAGTTAACTCTAGGCAAGCTCGGAAACGAAACAGGTTGATGGCTTCTACTGCAGAAATGGCTTCAGAAGCAGAGCCCATAGAACTTGAAGAAAGTGGTAAGTTTTCTTTTTAACTTGGTAAGGACATAAACTGCTTCTGGAGGATATGCGTCCCACTTAACCTGTATTTTTGCCAATTTCTGGATTTTTGCCAATTTGCCCTTTACTGGAGATGAAGGGAAACCTCATTTTAGAAGGCATCTAGTATGGCATCTATAAATAAGCCTGCTGACAACTGTTTTAGTTTGTTGCTGAGAGGTGATCCATTCACCACTAGTGATAGGTACTGAAGTGCTGCTCAAACATCTGAATGTCGAGGCTGATGAGCTGGGAGTTACTGCAGGTGCCACTACAGATAATGGCAAACTAAGTTTGGGAACTCCCAAGTTTTAAGAAGATAAATAAAAGTTTGTCACTAGTTGTGCCCTGAGGGAGGGGCAATGGTTGGTCAGTATATTTTTACAAAAAGTATCGGAATTAAAAAAACCTACTTGAGGCTTTAAATAGATATTTAAATTGCCTTCTGAAATCCTAGGAAAGATTAAAAGTCACTATTGGTCTGCAGGAAATTTTATAGTTTTTTCAGTTCTTGCTGTGCATTTGGCTATGAAAGGTTGGATGAGACAGCAACATTTACAGCATGGTACTGTAAAATTTTTATCTTTTATATAATTGACATTTTATTATGTGATAAACATTCTCCTGTGTTAGATGAATAACCTGATGCTGTGTACCTCTCACAAGCTTGTCATACAACTGAACTGTATGAGGAGCTCAGCTACTGTTCCTCTTCCATTGTAAATTGTAGGAGACTGTGGTGGTAATGCTCTACATGGACTGTTGAGGGCAAAACTTGAGTGAAATATTGGGTACATTGCTCAAGAGAGGAGCCTCAATTTTATTCCTTTGTCATCTTTGATCTTGACTCTAACATTGTGTTTTTAAGCTGGTGAAGAAGTCGTAGATCTCACGTGTGAATCTTCTGATCCTGTAGTTGTTGATCTAACTCACAATGATTCTGTTGTGGTAAGTAGTGAATAGCACACTTATCTAAATCTTGCAGTCAAATTAAGTTTGTATTATGGTCCCTGGTAGAATCTGGCTTTAAGGATAAGTTTGAAGTTCAAAGTTGTCTTGTCAGTGCATGAAAGTCATGTTACAGGTCAACACAGAAGCTGCTCTGGAGCTGTGCTTGCAGATAGTTAGAGGGTAATCGAAAATAGCTTTTTGCTCCAGAACTTGGAAGAATAAGTACCAGTCACGGGTAATGTAGTGTATGGAGATGCAATTTAAAGTTGAAGCTATTTCAGATAAATCAAAAATATAGGCCAGTGATGTAAATAAAAATTGAAGGAGGTAACAGTCTTTGACTTCACAAACATGAAGTGTTTAGCTGCAGTGTCAGTTTAAGGTTCTCCTGTCGGAGAGATGCCAAGTGCAACTGTGGCTGTGGTTCAAACTGGTTCAGTTTATTATTCCAAAAAGTCTTTAAAAAATTTACTCTTTTTACTGCTGTTTTTAAAGCTAGGGTATTATTTGATCCCATCCACAGTGTAGTTTATAACCTCACTTTTGGGATGCGATTACTGCCATGCAGAACCAGAAACGAGCAGCAGGAATAGCATGAGGGGGGATCTCCTGCTGGAATTGTTCTTAAGTCTTTGCAAAGGAAAGGCCTCAGTACAACGTAATCTGCCTTGCCCCAGCTGTGGTTCCACCAAAGTTAATAGTGGGTTTAGGGTGGATTTTTTTTTTTCTTGAGCAGCTGTTAATCTAATATGAAGTGTTTGTGGATCTCACACCTGAATTTACCTGTTTGGGGGAGAAAAAGGGAAAGAATCTTTTCCAGACTAAATCAAAGTAGGGTACTGAGGCTGGGGAGCAGGGAGGAGAGTATTCAGATGGTTCCTAAGCTGCCTCCATTTCTATCCCTTTGAAGCAGCATGAGCAGAACCAGAAGCAACCACTTATTTTCAGAGCAGCTGCTAATTTACTACCACTTCTAACATTCTTAATCAAAGTGAGAATGATATCCTGCCATTCCTAGCTTGTTTTGTTGTAAATACTTAGCTTGGTTGTTGTTTGTATATAGCACTAGGGATGCACACCAAAGTCTAATTGTATTTTCTTTTCTCTCCCTTCCCACATATATTGATGCAAGATTGTTGAAGGTGAGTTGACGTTTTATAATTGATAATGGAATTGTCCTAAGTTCAGTTTTTTCTTTTCCAATGAACTTGAACATCATGGATAGAAATTGCATTTACCAAAAGGCAAAGGATAGCGCAGAAGTGTCCGGCCAGCATCTTAGAGAATGGATCCAACCTGTTAGATAGTCACTATCAGAGCTTGTAGAAAGTATCTGAAATAAAATACATCAAAGCTGCTGAAAATATGTTTTCTTATTTTCCAAGTACAGAAGTTCTGTAAGCCCAAAGTTGATGGTAATTTTAATTAGCAGTGGAACATCTGCTTTGAATAAGAAAATGTTGAAGGGTTTTTTTTTAGCCTGTATTGCAGTGAAGGAACTAAAGAAAGTTATTTGTGTTCATAGTATTCAATTTCATTATCTAGTCTAACACGCCTCAAATTTAGTGTTGACAAGTACTAACAGGCATGGGGGTTTTATCTACTTTTTTTCCCACTTTTTCTACTTGGTTTTTTCCTACTTCTTTTAGTTGGAATTGCTATAGCTGTAAATAAGTTAATCCTTTACACTTCAGACCCTGTTCTGATTATAGTATCTGAGATGCATTAGTATGTTGTTATCTGCTTACTTAGAATGTAATCTATTCTGTGCTCTGAATGAAGCCAGAGCAAGTAAAAAATACTTGCAATAGAAGCTGCAGCTAAATACTTAGGCAGGAAGGAACTTTCATTTTGTGGCTGTTTATGTCATTTTCTTTGATCAGTGCTTGATTATTGTTACACGTACACTGGAGTTGCAGAGAGAATTATTGCATGTAGATTCTAATTATTAAAAAGCAAACAGCTGCTCTTTAACCTTTGCATGTTACAGACCAGGCAGTTAAACATTATTTTACATCTCCTTTTGTCTTGGGCAATTCCAGTTACCTTAGCTCAGGAGGGAGATAATGAAAATATCTAAGGAGATGCTGCTTAAAGTATTGTTATAATTTCCAAGTACTGTTCTTAAAAGGACTTATTTCATAAAAACTGCCTTTGATTGGCATAGGTTTGATTTAACACAGATAAAGAGTGGAACGGTTTAGCATCATACCTGGATAGAGCAGTAGGCACCCACAGCTGCTCCATAACTTACTTCTTTAGATTTTAGCATCTCTTCCATTGCTTCTGAAACATTCTGAACAAAGCACTTTCTGTGCTTACCAGGCCCTTTTGTGTGTATGTGCTACCTCACCATGCTACTTGGAAACTTAACTTCAGTCCTCTCTCTCTCTCGTATCGCACAGCAATTGTCCCAATTCCTCAACATGGCATTGTAGCATTCTCTGTTAGTAAGAATTGGGAGACAGCATAAAGTTACACTTCCCTCACAGGTAGTGTAACTATATGAAACTTTTAAGAATCGTGTTTTAGCTCTTTGTAGGGTGAATAGAGCAAATATTTTGTGTCAATCTGTAGCAAGCAGAGTATTCACAAGGCCTGGAAATGTTTAGGAAATGAGTTTAAGATGGCTTTTAGCAGAGCTGAATATGGTCCATTGAAAATATGAACCATTACAGGCTATTTATAATCATGCATTTCAAGGACAGTTCCAGGGATATAGATACTTTATCTAACTTGTCAAAATTAAATTACAGAGAATCAGCGGCAAAGGAGAAATCTTAGACTAAGAAGCCAGCGGCAGTCGGACAGCTGTGTTCTGAGCAGTGACGATGAAGATGAACCAAGAGATAATGATGTGTATGTGACAGATAAAGTGTCTCGAGAATTGGGACCACTGGAAGATGAAACTGCAAGTTCAAAGTACGTATGCCTTATGATCTACCAAACATTGAACTTGGCTTTTCTTAGACAGGACTAAGTTATATTGCTATATCCTGGCTATTCTTGGAAGTCTTAACTTATTCAAGTTACTTCCCACTTTGAGTGAGTACAACATGACATTGGGCCTGATAACTGATACCGCTTGCACTTGAGGATAAAAAGCCAGCCCAAGACAGGTGTACAACTTTGCATACAACCTTAAAGATGAATGTGGGGTATGGCAAGGAAGGAGGATCAGTCACAGGCCATAGCTTGTAATGTATTGCACTTAGTTTTCATGAAAAGTTCTAGTAGTCATGTTAGATAAGGAAATATTTTCATTGGTGTAGATGAGGCTTAGTATCAAAAAATACAGGTTTTAATAAAGCCCATGTGCTTTGAGCCTTTCAGATGACTGGAAGGCAATGCAGGGGAGAACTTGGCTATGGAAGTTTTGTGTGTCAGGTCTTAAGTATGCCACCTCAAGGGCTTACAATATTCTGAAATGTAGTACATTTGTACTACATTGGATTTGTAGATTATTTTTTTTTTAAATTTTGTAGGTGAATAAATACAAGTAATTAGTATGAAAAAGTAATGTTTTGTTCATTGCATCTCAAGCTTCTCTGTTAAAGACTGGGCATTCCTGCTCTGTTTAGATAAGGCTAAAACAACTCGGTGCTGCAGCACTTAACATTGACAAAAAGGTACTGATGCTGGGGATTGTCACAGAGCCATCTACAGTGTTACTCTGTAGAGTTACACTGCTCTTGCTTATATGAAGGTTATCAATTAACTACTGAGTTGCTGCATAAAGAATTTGAGTAGTAAAAATGGGAGAATTAAGGAGTTAGATTAGGTGTGTGAAGCTATGGGTAGAAGTCAGTAGCGCTCACTACTTGTATTTAAGATTATATGATGAAGGTTAGCTCATGCTTTCTATTTATATTTAATAAATTACAAACTGTTGCTTAGCATGGGTGGTGACATAGTAAAGCCACTTGTTTATGGCAAAGACTTATGAAAGCAACTTAGTGTGATTGTTTAAAATATAGATTAATCTGTAAATAGAAGTGGCAGGAAATTCTTCCTCTTTCTGATCGAGAACATTATTCAGCACTTGATGGTATGACGTGTTGCTCAAGCAGAATAGCTATGTCTGTTAGTAAGTGTGTGTGTGCAATGCAACTGTCCTGGAGGCTGAAGGCAGGAGAGGGAGGTACATCTGTAACCTGTTGTAATCTGTTGGTAACAGCCACCGAGTTGGTATTTTGTTCTCTGAAATAGAAATTTATTTTTTAATATTTCCTCGCATTAGTGTGTTCCTGCCCTATATTTTATAAGGAAGGAGTTCTTGGTATGAGTATGGTACTGGGCTGGGATGTTGCTAAATTGGAACAGGGGGATGTTTTCATTGCTGACAACCTATTTCACTCATAGAAAGGACAGCTAGATGGATTCATTACAAAACTCTCTATTTATGACCTGTTGAAGATTGTTATTGCTATACGTATATATACGTATGGTGCTACAGACTGCTGATACTTGCAGTAATACAGCAGGGTGACCGACTGCATCTTCCCCCTGCTGAAAAGCAAGACGCTGCTTCCTTTAGGTAAGGGGGACCCTACCTACGTAGTAAATGTGACAGCTTGAGAGAGTTAAAGGTGCACAGGGGTCTTCAGATGGACTGTGTCCTGGCGGGTCTGTGCAGTCAGATGGTTACATGCTGGTTTATGTGTCGGTAATCCTCAATGTGCGGTGAAATTAACGGATGCACGTTCTTTCTGGTTTTGTTCTCTCTCCCCCAAGGCCGTCTGGCACCGTTAGCTGTCCCATCTGCATGGATGGCTACTCAGAGGTAAGGATCCACATTGTTGTTGTCATTGTTTCTTTGGTGTCGGAGGGAGAATGAGGCAGAGGGTGAACTGCACAGCTCTTGGCTTGTACAGAACACCAGAGACAGCTGGCTTGATGTGCAGAACTTAGATTTAAGGTGAAACTAGCTTGTAACTCAAAGGCATTTCTTAGTGGTGTATGCCAAGGGAGAAACACTTCCCAAGCTGGCATTGGAAGCTCTCTGGGCTCCTCATTATCTAGTAGTATTGTACTGATTCCAGATACTCCGAGTTGAATTTGCTTGGTGCCAACAGATCAGCAATGCTGAATTCTTTATTCCAAGTACCAGTTGTGGTTTCTTTTCTTCCAGATAGTGCAAAGTGGAAGACTGATTGTGTCAACCAAATGCGGCCATGTCTTCTGCAGTCAGTGCCTCCGAGATTCCCTTAGGAATGCCAACTCTTGCCCAACCTGTAGGAAGAAACTCACTCACAGACAGTACCATCCCATTTATATATGAGTACTTCTGTTTCTCAGGACAGACTCAACTGGATTTTTGGGGAAAATGTCGTGTTTTCAGTGCTCTGAAGATGTAAAGAGCAGCAGGTTGTGCACACATCCAAATAAAACTGATTTTTTTTGGAGAATAACTTGTACATATATAGACAGCTTTTTTATGGTCCAAGCTGCTTCTTGTTATGTCCCTGGTTATAATGTTAAACTTGTGACTGTCCCTAAACTAGACCAGCAGCCTATGTCAGAAAGGAAGCAGCTAATCCATTTCCTTCTACTTTTTTAATGCTTAAATAAGAGGGGTCTGAGTATTTTGTTATTTCTTAGTCTTTAAATTATTCCCGCCATCACATACACATATGAAGTAGTTACCTTTCAAAATGCAGATCAGCAACTTGCCATTTCATTACACTTTTGGTTTTATGCTATAGGAAGCTCATGACTATATTGCTTTCTGCTGGACCATCTTTGCCCAAGGAGAGGCAGTTCTGTAACGATGGATCACTTTATCATAAATCAATATTAAATTGACAACCAGGGTAATGCAATAAAATAACCTGCTGTTAATCAGCAATCAGGTTTTTTAAGCAGAAGGCTTGAACATGTAGATGTCTTTATGAACTCCATGAGATCTCAAGTACGTAGACAAATCGCAGCATGTACAATGTGAAAATACTTCTTTAAGTGTTTTAACAGCCGAGAATTCCTGTATTTGAATTGCAACACTGAACTTACTTTCTATTGTGATGTGATGGTCTCTTGGGTTTACTGCTGTTCTGTAGCGCTCCCTCCTGATAACTAAGGAGATTATTGTCTTCTCTAGGCTTGTTAGTGAGGAGTAAGCAGCAAATTCTATCCTGTCCTCATCAGCTGGATACCAAACTACCTACAGATCTTCTTACTGTTTCAAGTGTGCCCAGCGTAATGCTTAACGCTCAGCGCGTTCACTTCACTCTTCAGTTGTTATACTGACACCTGACTGATTTTAGCCTGGTGAATAGGGTTAAAAATTAAATAACTGTATTGCCAAGTAGAGGCTTAAAAAAAGGTTTGGTAGCAATCTTGACTTGGCAGCTTTTTCAGAGAAAAGTTTTATCTCCCTTTGCCCTGAGAGTTGTCCAGCTGCCTTTAAATGTGCATTTTTAAAAATGTCAGATGCATGTCCTAGGAGAGAGAATTCCTCTGTCAAAGCAAGGCAGGAATACACAGGTTTATGCACCGTTATCCAGTCACTTTTCTTTTTTTCCCCAGGACTGAGTTATAAATGTCTGCTTTAAATCTGTTAGAGCAAAAATCTGCAGGCTGATGTGGAATCCCAGATGAACTGATACAAACAGGAGTACGGTAATTAAATGTAGATGAGTTGATTAAAACCAGTATTGTATGTTCCACATATGCAGTAGCTGCATCCATGAAGGTTGAAATTCCATCTATAAAAAAAAAAGTAGTCAAAGTTAAACTGAGGTGCCTTTTGGCAGCTTATGATTAACCATTAGGAGCACCATCCTGTGCTCTGGTGCAGCACGATTGTAGATGCGTTTAGGTAACGCTGATATCTGATGTGTTTTGGCTATAACCTGTCCTAGGGATCTGTAGGAAGCCTTTAATTAAAGCAGCTCTTTTAATTAGCTGTCTCAAGTTCCGTATTGAAGATTGCAACCTGAGAGTGAAGTTGTGGGGATTTTTTTGTTAGGCAGTTTAGGGGTGTTTCTGGCTGTAGTGATGCTGAGGGAGTTCTGTTCTGTAAGGGCTGGCTTTAAGAAATGCAACACCTTCCCCACCCGGGTTGGGAATGGCCTCGGGTCAGCCCCCTTAGCAGGAAAAAGCAGTTTGTGCAGTGTGTGGCACTTGGTAACTGCTAAAATATTACAGACCTTTGGTTACCCTGTGCTCCCGTCAGCAATACAAATGATAAGCAAGGACTCCAGCAGTCTTAGGACAGTGTGGTGACAACAGCAGCTGGCATTTGTGTCCCAAAAAAGCATAGAAATGATGAAACAGTACTAAAGGTGGCTTAAAGAATTAATTGCACAAAGAGAAGCAGCCCAACAGTAAAACTCAAGCTATTTAAGGGCCACAGAAACAGCTTTCTCCCAGTAGCTTAACAAAGAAAAAAGAAGAAAAAATGATGGCCAGTTTTCCTTGGGTGGCTACTGTAGGAGAGGGCTGAGAAGAAGAGGATTTAAGGATTTACCTCGGGGTGAGGGCGAGTCATGTGCCCGTGCATCCTTCCCAGTGCACTAGCCATAGCCTGAAATGACTTTGCACAACTCCCTCCATGTAAATATCACTTTATAGTTTGTGTCTCAATAAATACATCTAATTGAAACTTAGATGCCACAAACTATGAAATATTTAACAAGGAAGTTTTTAGGCTTTTTGTGTATCCCGTGAAGTGCCACAAATTTTGTGCGTCTCGAAATGAGTTTTAAGCTCTCAGAACATGGAAAAATAATAAATTGTGTTACATGCTTTTTTAGAGGGGAAAAAAAAAAGAAACCCAAACAAAAAAAAAACCAAAATATTTGAGTTGCAGTGATATTTCACATTGGCAAGAAGTGATAGATAATATAAAGGTTTTTTTTCATTATGTAAATGTATGTCTTGTTGTATATAGTTCAATTTTTCCTGTATTTAATTGTATTCATGTCTGTCTGTCCCATCTATGTTGGACCCTGCTGGTAGGCAAACAGTTCTTTTAACAGGTGGAAATAAAACTATCAGTTTGATCAATCGGAAGGGCTCCTTCTAGTCACGCTGTACTCATTGATTGTTTGTTTTTTTTTTCCAGGAAAAAAAATATCCAAAATCCCCAAACTTTTTAGTTCTTTTGACTGTTGTGTGGGAAAAGGAGAAAGGTGCTGCCTGGGGCGGGAGAGAGGAGAGGATGAGGATGGTGCCCAGTCCTGCTCCAGAGCGGGGGATGCAGAGGTGGGCTGGGGAGTGGGGGGGAGTGCCCTTTCCTTTGGGTAAGGGGACCCTCCCTGCCTATTAAATGCAGTATCAAATTTGTGACTGCCCCTCAACTAGACCAGCAGCCTGTGCTGGAAAGGAAGCAGCTAATCCATCTCCTCCTACTTTTTCAAGGCTTCAATAAGAGGGGTTCAGCCTGGAGAAGAGGAGGCTCCGGGGAGAACTAATAGCAGCCTTCCAGTACCTGAGGGGGGCTACAGGAAGGCTGGGGAGAGCCTGTTTACAAAGGCCTGCAGTAACAGGATGAGGGGCAATGGCTTTAAGCTGGAGGGGAGCAGATTTAGATTAGAGATTAGGAACAAGTTCTTTACTGTGAGGGTGGTGGAGCACTGGAACAGGTTGCCCAGGGAGGTGGTTGAGGCCCCATCCCTGGAGATATTCAAGGAGAGGCTCGATGAGACCCTGGGCAACCTGGTCTAGTTGGGGGTGTCCCTGCTGACTGTGGGGAGGTGGGACTAGATGACCTTTGGAGGTCCCTTCTGGCCTGGACCATTCTATCATTCTATTTTGTTATTTCTTACTCTTTAATATTATTTCTGTCATTGCATACAGGTGTGAAGTAGTTACCTTTCAAAATACAGCTCAGCGATTTGCCATTTCATTACACTTTTGTTTTTATGCTATAAGAAGCTCATGACTCATGACTGTCTTTGCCCAAGGAGAGCAAGTTCTTTTAACGATGGATCATTTTCATGTGAGATTGATTTAATTGACAACTGGGGTAATGCGATAAGATAGCCTGCTGTTAATTAGCAATCAGGTTTTTTAAGCAGACAGCTGCGTGGGCACAGCTGTTTGCTGGTGAGTTCTCGCTGCTCTGGTTGAGCCCTTGGTCTGCTTCTGCTGAAATACCAGGTCATGGTAATTATCCTCTGCTCTGCAGCCAGATCTGACACTTCGGTGAGGTGATGCCTGCAGGAATTGCAGGAAGCTGTTCCCGCTTGGGGTCTGATTCTAGATTGAATTTTTGGAGAGGAGAAGTGGTAAATACAAACCAGACATCAAAGCCTGTGAAGATGAAGTCCAGGACCAGGGAAGACCCATCCTGAGCGAGGAAGCCAGGTAAGAAGCATGGTCCAAGGAGCAGGTGGGACATGTAGTCTGGGGGATGCTCACGTGCTGTGGTGCCTGGAGTGAAGGGTGAGATGACTGGGAAGGATGGTGCAGGGGACTGAATGAAATGCTGTGGAGTAGGGACCAGCGCTGGGGCACCGTGAGCCAGAAACTGGAACTACAGAGCCAAGTGCAGAGATGTGGCTGCAGCCAAGTTGTGTGTGAGCAGCCAGGTGGAGATGGGGAACTGCAAAGGAGGGTCATCAAGGGTGAGTGTTGGTGCACGTCAGCTGGATGGGCTCAGCAGGGCCACGGCTGCTGCAAGGAGCTGTTGTGTTCTGGGTGCAGAGCTTAAACCTTGGTTTGCCTGGGTTAGGTCTCATGGGGTGGTGACACAGCTGATGCAATGCTGCCTGTGAAGCCTTTGTTAACTGTAGAAATGTACGTCCTTGCATCACGTCTGATTTACACTTGGTGGCAGCGAGCACTAGTTTCCTATGTTCTGTGTAAATCTGGTTTATTCTGTAGGTCAAGAGCATGAGATTGAGTCTTTGGGCTTGTGATGATGTTTTAACCTCCAAATATTTTGCGTCTTTTTATCTATCTTTTGCCTGATGATGCCAAACCAGGCTTGGTGGTTTGCATGGTGCTGTGTTTCATCTGAAGAGCAAAGTTGTAATAGTTTCTACAGCTGACTTAGGGCCTGCTAAGAGTGAGATGCTGTAGGGCTGCTTCATAGCCTTTCTGACATCCTAAGTGCTCCTAGAATTATTCTTTGAGGGTTCTGTAAAGGTATGAGGAACAGGAATATCTGGTCTGGGATTTCCTAGAGGAGAAGATTGCCATCTGTACCAAGGAGAGTCCCCACTTCTGTGTCCAGATGCAGTTCAAGGGTTCTTTCCCCTGGCATGTCCCTTCAGAGGGGGGTCCCACCCATGCCAGTTGTGGAGGATGAATATAGATGTCATCTGATGCTTTCTTCTGGGTTTGTTAGGAATGAGATGGAGGCCTCTAAGACTGTTTCAAAAAGATACTGAGAAGTTGCAACATCTTTCGTTCGGTAAAGCCCTTGATTACACCAGCAACGTAAACCTGGGGGAGCCCCCTGAGAGCACTTCCCACTGGTAACTCTGCCACCCCTGTGCTGTAGATTCAGACTTGGTGTATTTCTGTTTTCCATATTCGATGTTACCTTAAGGTTGTAGGCAAGGCAGTCAACAGCAGATACTTTGTGAATGGGGAACTGCTTATTTCTAAACCTATTTCCTCTCCCAAATGGCACGCAAAAGACATTAGCATTAAAAAGCTTACAGAGAGGAATGGCGGGTAGGTTATTGATTTAATAGAGGTAACAGAGGTCAGGGGATTAACGGTAGCAGAGGTCTGTCTATGCAAGCAATTGCAGATGTCCTTTTTAAACATATTCCAATTATTTATATGGAGACTTGTTTCCCAGGGAGTGCACAAAATGCATTCACATCTAGTGAAGGATTCTCCTTGCTTCCCGGGGAAGGTGAAGGAGCTCCGATTCCTCTAGCAGTAGTTTATCCCTCGTTTCCTTTGGCAAGTGTTCATCCCTTCCATCTCTGCCCTTTGCAGTCCCCGGTGGCACACGCAGCAACGGAGCAGAAGCAACCCCTGGCTCAGCATCCCCAGCTCCTGCAGAGCATCTGAAGGTGCGGGGCTGAATATTGTCCCCACTGCAGAGATCTCAGCTGCAGCAGGGTCCTTGCTGTGCTCCGTGAGTTCCTGCTGCTCCTGATGGCAGAGACCTGGAGCACAGGCACCTCCTGGCTCCGTGGGATGGGGTAGATGGAGCAGCAGCGGGGGTTTTTTTTATGCCAGTTCCTGTGTAGCTCTCTTTGCACGTCTTGATTTGCAGCATCATGACAAGTGGGCACTTTATAATTAGTGTGATTAAAAGTGCACACGTCGCAGTGGAAGGGAGCGTGTAAATTAGGCGTTAAAACTCTGCTGCAAGGAGGTGGTGTGCTACGGCTTCTTTCCTTTGCCATAAATTCCTCCATAAATCTCATTCCAATTCTTGCTCTGTGGAGGAAGGGAATGAAGCTGTGGCTATTTCAGTGACCAATGTTCCAACACCGTTTCCCCAAATCATTTATTAATAGCCACAAAGATCGTAGCTTATTTCTAACTAATTCAGCAATCAAAATTTTAGACATGGATCATGCATATATTTGTCCCTTCCTCCTCACTGGAGTGCGGACAAATGAATTTTAAAAATAGCCTGGGGGGAAGGTTTAAGTCATTCATTTAAGGAGGCTCTTTAAAAGCTTCTTTTCTAACCTGCCAAATTATAGGACGGTTATAATTTGTTTAAATCTTTCAACATTTAAGGGAATGCCTGCCGCATGTTGAAGCATTAGCACCCCTTCGCTGAGCAAATGGAGCGTGGGGCTGCGGGAGCAGCCGGGGCTGGGCTGGGGAAGAGCTGTCTGCTCAACGCCAGGCCTCATCAACTGCAAAGAGCTAATTAGAAGAAATGCTTGCAAAAGACTGATTCTTAATTTTTTTTATTTTTTCTTCCCCAACACTTCTGGCTAAAACATATTTGAAGGGCTGTTGTCATACCGAGGGCTCTCTGTCAGCAGAGACAGTTTATGAGCTTTGCCATCCAGCGCTCCTTTTATTTTCGCCTTCTCCTTCCTTTTGTGTTTGAAGGCAGAGAGCGTTGCAGGAAAAGCAGCACTGCTCAGCCCTGTGACCTTCACCCTCACTGAGAGAGAAAGGGAACCTCCAGCTGGAGTTGCTGGGACCCTAAAACCGATTTTTACTATTATTTTCTATTTGCCCAGCAAAAACCAGCCAGCTCCATAAACTCCTACAGCCGTCTGCAGGAGCTGCAGATTGTCCCCCAGGAGTGTTGCCCATGGGGAGCGATTCCAGTGGTGCTGCAAGCTGGTGGCTCCAGAAATCCCACCTGCTTCCCACCAGCCAAACCGAGAAGTCAGGCAGAGGCTCTGTTTTGGAGCCTCCCCCGTGGGAGCTCTGGGCTGTGGTTTGCCCGGTGTGTCTGGGGACATGGAAGGAAGAGGCTGGAGCCCTCTTTGCTGGATCTGCTGGGAACCCACCGGTGCCTCTGGCAGCAGCGGGGTCTCACAGGGCCAGAGTGGAGCAACTCCTGTTCCTCTGAAGGGATGAATGAAAGAATTGTGTCGGGTGCGCAGCGGCTCCTTGGAAATGAAAGGGAAGTGGGACGAGTTTGATGTGAATGAAATGGCAAGTAAAGCTGCATACGTTTTGTCACACCTCAGCATTGTCACCTAGATATCATGTAGGATTTTATTAGGTTTATTATTGTTTCATATCTGTTACAATGCCTAGAAATGGAAAAAAACTTATTTTGACATTATTTTAAAAACAAATGTTTATGCATTTACATATGTATACTGTCCTATACGCTGATTTTACAGCTTTGCACTGCTTAGATATTCTGGACAGAAGTGAGAGTATCGAGCCCAACCTCAGTCGTGTCTCTGGTCATCCATGTCTGAATTAGCAGATATCCACAAGGCTGCATCCTTAATATCCGAGAGCTCCCTGGGGTCATGTGCTGTGTTTACAGGCTGGGAAATGCCAGTGGTCCTGGGCTTGCATCCCACATCCCCTGGTCTCTGCTGAACTGCTGCCCAGAGCCCTGGTTTCACCAGACCCAGACACGGGGCAGTTCACTAGGACAGAAATCTCTGTGTGTCTGGTTTAGCTCAGATCCAGCGCTCCGGAAGAGTTTGGGCAAGCCTGGTGTGTTTGACAGCACAGCTTTGGCTCATCCCTGGACACACAGCCTTCCCAGGGCTGGAGCTCACCTCCCCAAACCAAGTCACATTGCTCCGACCTCATGTGCTGCAGCCACATCAACCTGGACCTTGCAGGAGAGACCCACCAGCACCGACCTGCCCCGCGTGGCTTGGGGAGCTACACCCTGCCACTGGGTTTTGTCTGGAAAAGGGTCTTGTCCCAGGTGGGAACATCAGAGAAATGGCCCCTCAGGTGCATTGTCCTCAAGGAGAGGAGGAGGTGACACCACGATGGGGGGACTTGGGTTTCTTGTCAAACCCTTGTTCAGGCTTTTGTGCCGTGTCTCCCTCTTTTCTGGTTGTGGGAATAATCCAAACATATAAATAGGATAAAGACAAGGTGGGGAAATAGGCTGTTGGTTGGTGCTGCACCATTTTGGTGAGGACTAATATCCTGACAGAGGTCTGGAATTCATGTTTTTAACCAAAATTCAAAGCATAAAGCCATCATTAGCTTTATTTTTCTTACATTGTAATGAAATGTTGTTGGAACGCTGGGTTGAAGATTTTGCTCATTAAACAACAGTAACAAAACTTGATTAGGAATGAATGTCTTTCTAACTAGTCTATTTTTTCTTTAGGCCCTGAGCACTTTGAAGAAATTAGTGGTGAATAGCAAATTTTGTCAGTGTTATGAATAATTATACCTGCAATTATTAAACACTTGTTATTAAGGCAGATGATGAAGCTGGCAAGTTCTGTTTAAGCTGTGTACTGATAGTATTAAGGAAGCCAAGAGAAAAACAAAGGAAATGATTAGGGATCTTGGTGGGACATACGGAAAAAAGCTGGGTTTTATTTAGCCTAACGAGGGAACTGTTAGAGAGGATTTAACATAAGCATTTAGCTTATTGAAGAACATCGCAGTAACAGGCACGGTGTGAGAGGGAAGGGATCGTTCAAGGTTAATGGCAAATGTTAAAACACATTGTTGTGATTCTTTATTTTCATAATCCAAAAGAAAAATATTTTTCTTCATGAACTAAGTGTTTTCTTGGAAAGCATTTTTACTTGTAGTCATGATAGCCCCATGCAGGACATTGATATCCCAAGACCCAGTTCTTGTTGACCTCCCTGCACTGTAGCACAAGGGGGCTTGCAAGTCCTGTGCTGGCCCAAGAGGAAGGGTTTGGCCACCAGTGAGGTGGTTGTGGCTTTGCCAGGTGTGTTGTTGGTGTGGGCCAGCCCGGGAGCAAAGGCCAGACAAGCCATTTTCTTCATCTTCTGGCTGGAAGAAGGACAAGAGTCTGGTAATAGCATAAGATATTTCCACTGCAGGAGAGGCTCATTCTCCTACGTGGAGGGGCAAAGACCAGAATATATATATATATATATATATATACACACACATCATTCAGAAAATCAGACCACCTTGAAAGCTGTTACTTCCAGGAGCCCTGCTGAGGGCTGGCACGTTTGGTTCGTATATATCCGATGGGTATTGCAAACACGTCAAAATACAGGAAGGAACCTTCATGACTATCTTCAGTAGAGAGGACAACGGGCATTTCCCAGCACTGGCTGTTGTGCACAGGTACCAGGATCCTATGGATTTCTTGTGACAGAAGGCGGTCACTGTGCTGAGGTGCGTGCCACCGCATTGCTCGCCCATGGGCCAGCGAAGATTTGAGGATTCTTGTGTTAAAAATTCACATCATATTTTGCTCCTGGAGGTAAGATGCCAGATGGGCTTAGAAAGATGATCGGCTGTTTACTCTAGGGTCTTTGTGGAAAAAGAAATTATGCCTCAGATTAGAGAACAGAGATGAGCAAAGTGAAAACTCATATTTTCCAAATGACCTCAGCTCCAGTGGAGAGATTAACGGGCAGCATTGGGATGTCTCCATTACACAGGTCTCCACCTAATTGTTCCAGTTAGACCAAAATATTTTCTTTCTGCTGCTGTAGAGCAGATGAAACTCTACTAGAGGAAAATAATGAATATTAGTTTTCTAAAGGATGGTGATTTGGGCTGAAATAAAATTCCTGTGGTTGACAATATGTGCTGGAGTTATAAGATCAAATAGCAAATTACTTCCCAAATTGCTATGGGGAGGTCTTTGAAGCAGTGAATGGGGGTAAAGCGTGCCCTAAGATATTTAACAACTGATAATGCAAATTGCAGAAGAAGAGAGGAGGAGAGGAAAATAAATTAAGGCTCTAAAATGCTGTTGAGTATTTATGGGAGGTAATGGGTTTCCTGACACTTCTTATGAGAACCTGATTGTTAGTCCCGGGCTCCTGGAGAAATGCCAGTTGAGGTAATTGTGCTCTCTCAGCCCCAGTCACAGCCACAGCCGGGTGCCACTGGCTCGTGTCTGCTCCCAGCCCCTCCACCGCACGGGGAAGCGCCTCCCACCTCTCTCCTGCCCTCCTGAGGGTTTGGAAACTGATCCCTCTGAAGTTCTCCTGATGTTTCAAGACCCTTAAAGACCAAGGATAAAATGTCTATATTCTTGCGTGAGAAGTGCCAGTGTTTCCCCCCAGGCTCCCCACCAACAGCTCCATGGTCTGTCCCTGTGTGTGGCTGGAAGCTGCTGTTGGCCACAGAGGAGGTGCTGGTGTCTTTGCTGGCCTGACTTGGCCAAGCAAGTGAAGGGCCCATTCCTGAGGAGGGAATTTTTACCAGTCGAGGGGGTTTTGGAGCTGATGGGACTGCAAATCATGAAGGAGTTAGGTTGCCACTCTCCCTGAAAGGCACGGGCTGATGAGGCAGAGGGAGAAGTCCCTGTTTCAGCATGGGAAAGCCCTCGAGAGCAGCTCCTGTGAGAACATCCCTTGGCTGGGAGTGAGGGGGTTGGCTCCGTTCTCTGGCTGGGTTCCCTGTTTTCCACCCACTGAGCTGCTCTACCTGCTGCATCTGCTGCTTCCCACCCAAAAATGCTTGGTTCTTTGCTGGCGCTTCTTGGTGGAAGACTGGAGGAGGCGGCAGGGTCACCCCGTGTGGTGCAGGCAGTTCTCAGCCAGGCTGGAGAAGAAGGTGCAGAGTCATGGGTGGCCAAGACCTGCAGGATTGGTTGGAGATAGGGAAGCTGAAGGTATGGTCCTTCAGGTAGTGTCAGCAGCAATGACAGCGGTGGAGGATGGGTTTCAGAGGAAAGCTCACCATTATTTCCATGAGCTCCACTCCTCGGGAGTGATGGGTACCTGGATCAGCTGCGGTTTGGGGGGTTGTGATTCGAGTCAGCTGCTTCTCAGCCCTACACATCCTGGTAGATGACTTTGAATATGGCCTTTTCGTTACTTTTCTATTGAAATTCAATGGGGTTTACATTGCTGTATCTATGAAAAAGACTGACGGATCCGTTCAGGTCTAGATAGGATTAACTGAAAGGTAACGTAGCTCCCGAAAGCCATCAACACTGAGCCTTGTCTTTGCTTTAGTTGAGACCTGACATAACGATGCAAAATAGTCTCAGTGCTTCTGCAGGCAGCCCAGCTCTCTGATGGACACACACTTTATTTCCTGAATGGATTAAAGTCTCTTAATCTGAATCGTTTATATTCCCTTAGGACTCGGTTACTGTAAAGCGCCTTTGACAACTTTTAACTCTTCAGGGTCACCTCGCTGTATTTCCCACTACCCTGGTGCACGTGAGCTGTGTAAGCCCTTCCACTGCAGCTTCAAAAAAATGAGAGAAGAAATCATTTCCTGTTCATCTGAAATAATTTCTTACCTTTTTTTAATGGAGGAGAGAAACAATTTTATTAACCTTAGATTATTTTCTAAAGATCTATGTAAAAATAGCATTTCAAAATATTAACATTAACCATTTCAGCACAGGTGGGAGTTCTTGCATCGCCGAAACAGTTCAGTGTAACTGCTGTCAACTCGTGAAATATCTTGGTTAGCTTTCTTGGGTTTCTGTTGGTTTTTTTTCAAGGAAACTGCTTCAAAATGACGTGCCCATCTCAGTTTAAGAACAGAGCAGCTAATTAATGAGTAGGTATACACAAGGCCAGAGTGCCCAGAGGGTGCTCACCTGCACCTTGAGTACTGTGTCCAGTTTTGGGCCCCTCACTACAACAAAGACATTGAGGTGCTGGAGCGGGTCCAGAGAAGGGTGATGAAGCGGGTGAGGGGTCTGGAGAGTAAGTCTTATGAGGAGAGGCTGAGGGAGCTGGGGTTGTTCAGCCTGCAGAAAAGGAGGCTGAGGGAAGACCTCGCTCTGTCCAACTCCCTGAAAGGAGGTTCTAGCGAGGTGGGGGTCAGTGATAGGATAACAAGTGATAGGACAAGAGGAAACGGCCTCAAATAGCACCAGGGGAGGTTTAGATTGGATAGTAGGAAACATTTCTTCACCGAAAGGGTTATCAAGCATTGGAACAGGCCGCCCAGGGAAGTGGCTGAGTCACCATCCCTGGAGGCATTTAAAAGACAGATAGATGTGGTGCTGAGGGACATGATTTAGCGGGGGACTTGGCAGTGCTGGGTTAATGGTTGGACTTAATGATTTTAAGGGTCTTTTCCAACCTAAAAAATTTGGTGATTCTATGATTCTACCTGTGCCTGGTGAGCCGACTTGTGCCAAGCAGGTATTTAAAAGATGAGTAGACGTAGTGCTTAGAGCTATGGTTTAGTGATGGTTTTTGTCAGTGTTAGGTTGATGGTTGAACTAGATGATCTGAAAGGTCCCTTCCAACCTAGGCGATTCTATGAATCTAAGCTCCACCTCCTGCGGGGGCAGCTGTGTCCTCAGGTAATCTGCTCTTTGGCTCCACCAGCCCCTTCAGTTCCTCTCTAGCATTGGATCCACCAGAGATAACACAATTTCTGCATTTAACATCCCCTCTCCAGAAGCACTGCTGCTGAGAATGCCTCGCTGGTATCAGCTGCCACAATTTAATTAGCACCTGATTTCATGCTGCGAAAGGCTTCCTGGAATAACTGATGTAAGAACAGAAAGCTGTGATGTAAGAACACGCTTTGCATAATACAACTGGTAATCGGGGCACGTTTAAAGCAACAGGCCCAGCGTGTGCCTCGCACCCTGTGCATGTGTGTGCCTGGCCCTTGTATGGACACATGGGGTCTTCATGATGTCCATCTGCAGGAAAAGCAGTCAGCTAGAGCGGCTATGGCTGTGATCCCTCACCTTCCTCCTTCCACCTGGATGCTCCCAAAGGGACACTCTTCGACAGTTTTTAATTGCCTGGACTTGCATTTCACAATTCAGACAACAGGACCAGCAGCACGGTGTTCACTGCTGCTCCCCCAGTGCCCTGAGGCTCTGTGCTCACAGCAGAGCTGGGCACAGATGGTGGCTTGCTCCACAACCCAGCGGTGGCATCTGCCTGTAAACACAGGGCTGGACCAGGTAAGGGAATCGCATGGCCCAGAGGGGTGCTGGGTGAGAAGAACTGGAGTCTGGGTTCAGATCCAGTTTCACCCATCAGCCTCAAAAAAAGCCTCCAGGTTTGGCTGGTGATTTACGCTAGAGGCAGCCAAACCTGGCTCTCTGAGCAAAGTGCCAAAATTGCTCATGCTTCCCAAGGCTAGGGATGCACAGCCCACTCCTGGGTGGGCAGCCAGGTGCTGAAGGGGCGCAGGGCAATGGCAACAGCCCCTGTGGACAGGGCAGGACATCATCTCACCCCTGCAGGTGCTGCCCACGGCAGCAGATGAGGTAGCCCACGCTGGGGAGGGTGACTGCCAATAGTGGGGACCTCAGCCCTTGCTTGCTGCGGCCTCTTTCCCTTTGCCCTGTCTGCCTTGAACCTTGTTCCAAGCCCTCAATGCACTTGGAAGAATTATAAATCAACAACAACGAGCGTGTTGCAGAAGTTCAGTGCATCTGAGGCAGATTAAAAGGCCATAACTTTCACGAACAGACGTAAGCACTGAGAGAGATTTATTCTGAAACAGCTTTGGTGCTCCCTGGTGCTCCCTGCGCCAGTTAGAACTGATGCATACTAAGTCTGTGATCTGCCAGTGACTACATACACAGCGTGCTGCTGGAGTGATGCTCGCACCCTAATTCAGATGCATATTGTGCCCTCTGGATGTACCACAGTGCTGCCTGGAGCTCAGCACAGCAAATAAATACACAGAGCCTTATGTAGCCAGAAAGCAGAGCTGCTGTAAACCTCGGATTTGCACAACACAGGGGTCGGTGTGGTTTTGATTTTGCGTGTGGCTTTCATCGTTTTCCATGGAAAATAAACTTCCACTATTTCCCTACCGCACCCCACCCCGATTTCTCTGGGTACAAATAACAAATACGTGACCTAAGGCAGTGTTGTGCTGCTGGATGGGGAGGCAGAGGTTTCACAGCCCCCCACGCTGGTGCTTAGGCCCCGTTCCGCAGCCAGCAGCAGCTCCTGCATGGTAGCCATCCTGCTGTGGGGAGAGCCAGGATGGGGCCAGCCTGGAGCTGCACAGGGCCAGCAGAGCCCTGCTGCACTGTCTCCGCCCTGTGCCAGGCTAAGTAGTGCTAACAGAGGTGATGGTGAGCTGCCAAATTTGCTCCAGGGTCCTTCCTTTGCTATGTAGGTAATGTTCAGCATCTTGCCTGCAAAACAGGAGAGTCCCCTTGGTCTTCTCACTGCAAATCCTGCCTTGGGAGCAAGGGTGCTCCCATGGGTTTGTGCCCAAGAAGAAGGGGAATAAACCAACCTACTCATAGAGACATTAATACGTTTGTTGTTTGTCATATCTTAACATCAAAACAAGATTCTCCTGTGGTGGATGGTTTACTTATTCTCTTTGCTGCCCAAACAGCCACAGACACCAGTCCAGACTCTGCAAGTCTTCTATTGCAACAGAGGTTGGCTGAGAAAACCTCCAGCTCAGCGAGCGCTCGGTTGCGTGACAGCGTGTTACTCTCCTGGTGAGGACTGGAGGGAGGAGGGAAGATGACCAGAACTCTCTTCATCGCTATCCATCCTCCTCCTTCCCGGTTTTCCAAACTTCAGGAGATCCTTGGCCAGGCTAGTGCTGGCCTTCCCTTGTTCCCACCTCCGGCACATTTCAACAGGCTGAAGAGAGCAAGTCAGACCTCCATGCTGTATCACTGCCCACCATCTCCCAGCCGTTCATTTCATCTTGAACTCTATGGGACTGGGCAAAACTGCCCCAAGAAAAGGTGTCCTACAAACAGCCCATGTTTGAGGCCTGGGGCTGGCTTTATACATTTTCCTCTGAAACCTCTGGCATTGATTGCTTGGAGGCAGACAGCAGCCCAGAAGAAGAGATGGTCTGACCTAGGTGGACATCAAAGACTACCCTGCAAGAACAGATTTTAATGCTTTAAAGAAATGCTCGTTACATCCAAGTGCGTACACTGTATTTCTACAGTTTCCCCACAGAATTACTATAAGGAAAACTGAAAAGGAAAAAAACATCTTCTGAGGTGAGCTTTCTGTTTGTTTTCTTAGGACACTGACTGAAATGTAGCCATTAAACCAAGCATCTACTGCTTGCAAAACCACAGGGTGTTACGAAATTTTGAGCTGAAGGAGGTCAGCAGAAAGACTCCAGTGAGGGTAAATCAAGCTTAAAATAAATGTGGTATTTGGTTTGTGGCAAAACTCTGCAGAAGAAATTCCAGAAAGATGTTTTAAAGTTTAGAAAGTGTTCCCTGAGATTTCAGGAGGTCCCAGAGGCAGCAAGGGGCCAAGAGCTGCATCCACAGTGAGCCCTTCCTCTAAGGAGCCCATAGAACGGAACATACACCTTTCAATTTGTAAAGTGAAAAAACTTAAAATCAGTCTTTCTCGGGTAACTCAAAATATTAGGCATGAACAACATTTGTTACCATCACATTAGAGGATGGAGCTAAACGAGGATCAAATGATTAATTTTGTTGTTTACAATGAAGGTACAGTGCTCATTCTGAGGTGCAAGGACTTGAACTGCATTAGAAAACACTCACCCTCTCATAAAATAAATGCCCTAATTTGTCTTTTTTTCTTACAGGTCTTTAAAAAATTATTATAAATAGATCTTTTCTTTCTGCCTTTTTCCTACCTCTTTTCAAACAATGCCCTGTCCAAGGGCATCTCTCAGCTACAGCTGCTGCTACCTGCAAGAGAATATGTAACAGGCTTCACCTCCAGGCATCACCTTGGAAACGGCAGAGCAGCTTTCTGCGGCGTCCAGAGGAGAGCGGGATCCTTTGCAGGGAAAAGAAAAAGGCATTGCCCTTCTCCGAAGTGCTCTCAGTCTGTTGTTTATGGTAGGTAACGGGACCCAGGTGGACGCATACCGGCGTGGGCTGACGCTTGCAGCTCCACAGCCCTGAGCACGGTGGGGTCAGCAGGGTGAGCGTGGTTGGGTGCAAACTTCTCGGGTCCCAGGTATGGGATGTTGTTCCCAAGACTTCGTTAACCCCGGCGATGGAGGTCTGTCGAGCACATCTCTCAGTATCTCTTTTGTTATCACAAGGAGGAGTCTTTGCACTGCGTCAAAACGTTCTGCACCGCGGAGGGAGCCCATGGCTGTTGCAGCAACATGACTCCAATTACAAGGAGTTGCATCGTGCTAAAATAAATCACTTCCTCCACTAGGTGATGTCACTGTGGGAAGGAACAGCTTCAGAGCCGGCAAGTCGAAGGCTGGTGATGGTCAAAATGGTAGCGCACGCATTCAGCTTCTCACAGGAAGAATTTATTCATTAAAGACAAAGCAGCAAGGCAGCATCAATCCCTGTAGAAAAAACATGAGTGACACGGATGCTTACAAAGCTGTTGAATAAAGCCAGGCTGGTGTTTCTGTCTGCTTTAAATCCCACCTTGTCCAAACAGCCCAGCATTGTCATCCACCTCGCTCTGTGCACACGGAATAGCTCTGCTGGCTGCCACAGGGTCGGCTCCAATGTCTCCACAGTGTTTTGGCCACCCCAGAGATCACTTCCAATCCACCACCATAAATTAAGCAACGTGAAGGCCCCCGAAGGCACCTGTGGTGTAGGTCAGTCGTGTAGCATTTCTCCTGCTGCAAACCAAGGGGATCCTGCTTGTTTTATCCAATTACCAGGGAATTCTGCAAGAGCCATCCTGTGCAAAAGGGATGGTAGAGCTGGGGGAGATGCCACCGTGCTGGGGGAGTGGGTTCAGCCTGTGGTGACGTGACAGCTACATGTGCCCCTGTGTGTGTTGTGTTTCTCATGAACTGAGCTCTAATTAGTAATATTTTCACAGCAAAACACAGTAATGGGGATGCTGGTGAGAGGGAAGCCAGAAAACCAGCAGAAGACCAGCAGAGATTGTGTGACTGGGCATCAGAGAGAGCAAGCACTAATTTTCTTCAGCTTGTCAGCTGTCTGTGACACTTGTGCGTACCTTTATTTCTACAGGGATGCTGTAAGAATAAGGATCACTTCAGCTTGCAGACTGAAAGATGCTTTTGCTAAAAGTGAAATGTTTTGAGAACACTCCTGACACTGACAAGACATTTTCCTCCACGCTTGGTCTTGACGAGACAGAAAAACTGCCTGTGTCAAAGGTGGAGATGTAGCACCTGGAGTGGAAATCAAGTTTTTCCCAGATTACTGCCTTACTGCAGGTGAATGACTCACTGTCCACCCCAGGAGCTCACACCACGCAGCCATCAGCAGCCCACACTGCCAGCTGCGAAGGAGGGAGGCAATGTCTCTGGGTGCCAGCAGCCACCCGTGGCATCAGTAAGGACCAACAAGACTTAGTGCACAGTTTCCCCTCATGGGTGGAGGCAAACAGGCCTTCGGGGCTCGGGACACAATCTCACAGAGATAAAGCCAGGAGAAGCTGTCACCAGCTGATGTGTCAGGGCTCTGTGTGTGTTGGTGGTCCCTCCAAATCCTCTTGAGCCTCAGAGGAAAGACGTGGCCACACAGAGCAATTCAGCAGCCACGCAGGATGGCTAGAAACCATACAGCAAGCAGGTTCATTTGTTACCTTGACTCTTGCAGGCTGCCTCGGGCTGAGAAAATCGAATGATCCACAGAGAGTGAAGCAAATGAAAAAATACAAACATCTGTCTCTGGTGCTGGCTGAGGGTCTGGGAAAAGAAGCTCACCTGCATCTCAAGGTGATGGAGGCACCAACAGGGCCTCGGGCTTTGGGAAGTGATCACGTGTGACAATGGGAATGAAGTGAAAACCATTAACTAGCATCATTATTGGGCAAAGCAGAGCTCTTATAAGAACAAGGTAAGTTCATGGGGACAATAACCTTTTTATTTACAGATGTTAAGGTTTTCCAGGTGAAGGCTTGAGCTTGAAGACATGTGCAGCCATGCAAAGCCTCCCTGGTGCTGCAGCAAGGCCAGGACTAACTTCCCCAACAGTGGATACAACTGGGGGGAAAAAAAAAAAGAGAAAATGGGTGCTTGGTGTTGCCACGGTTACTCTGAGGCTGGACTGGCTGAGAAAGAACAGAACGTTACAGTAATTCAGATGTATCCTAAGTATTAATTTTTAAGACAATACTTCAATTTATTATTTTTTTTAAGAAAAGGGCTTCATCCTGCACAGAGGTGACACGGATGAGCTCACAGGTCTGGCAGTGGGACACTTTGACATTACCACTACATTTAACTGTAGTGCACGGACCTGCAAAGGTGCTCTGCCCATGGGCTGCCTTTGCACGTGGGCCTAATAAAGCGAAAGATAGGGTGGCTCAAACACTCAACATTTTTTCTTGACCCCTTTGCCTTTTGTTCTTCTGTTTTCCATGGACTGCATTTTCTGTGCCGTCTTCTCCTGGTTTCTGCTTCCCCACCCTCCCCCCTTCACCTCTTGGCTGCTGGAGAGGCTTGCTGGCTTCTCTTCAGGAGACCCTCACCACAACTGAAGTCCTAGAAACATCTCCAAAATCCGTATCTTCCATTCTTCCCTCCAGTCACCCCTTCTCTCCTGTGACACTCGCTCATGGGACACTCACACCTGCTCCCCCTGGCCCACCTCCCACCTCTTTTGGGGGACTTTCAGTGCTGTGAAGTCATTAATTTATTGGACTTCTGGGGGGTTTGTCTTCCACAGCTGCAATATTTTCTTCATTTGCTCCCCACCATGTCCAAGCCCACTTCATGCTCCTTGCCCAACAACTGCTGGGACTCAGCAGCTCTTTGCTCCAACTGCTGCTTCACTTCTCTGCTTGGCCAGGTAGAAACGGCTTCTCTCTGTATTTCTTCTGACACAGGACACGGCAGCTTTGATATCACCGCCTTCTCCCTCTCCTTCTTCTCTTGGATTAGGCTTTTTCATATGAGACAGCAGGGAAACCCAAACCCAATCCTGCCTTGGCCCACAGCTGAACCCAAATATGTTCACACGTATTTGCACAAAAGCCCTTCTGGTCTCCATTACAGGCAGCTATTTGACACCACGTCTGAAACGTCGCAAGCCGATTGCGATGTACCCTGAGGGATGCACTTCTCATCTCTCCTCCACTTCCCCTCTGCTTTCTGTTCTTTGCAATAATTACAGCTGGGGTTAGACAAAGCCTTCATTGTGCCAGACCTCCAAGCATAACAGGAGGAAAATGCTGTAAAAACTCACCCAAGTTAACTAGGCAAAACAGATGAGACTTCTTCTTGCAGTTTAACAGCAACATTGGGAGCTTTTGCCAATTTTATGCAGAGCTTTAAAAAATGGTCAGTGATACTCTCCGGAAAACAGGGTCACATTTCAAAACCTGGGAGGGGAAGAAGATTTTACTTTAACAGCTAAGAACATGCTCAGCATGAACTCAGACAGCATTATTTCCCTGAGTTATAGGCAGACCAGTGTCTTAGGGGGTGGAAAGTGTTGCTTTGGCTTAACATGAAGGTGTTCAGACTCCAGCATTTCACCCTGGGAGAGGAAAAGGGGACTTTTTGTAAGGTTTTAACAGTGAAAGCACTAAGGAAATACTGTATGGAACTGGTAGAACTAGAGCAGTTATTAAATTGCTATGAGATAGTGATTTAGTATTTTATTGCCATTTAAAAAGAAAAAAAAAGTTTTTAAACTGCTTTAATAAATGCTTGAGGGATGATGCTTTAACCAGCTATCACAAACGCTGTGACAAGGCAGTGGATATATAACTCCTTACTGCAGATCTGAATTGCCTGAACATTAAACCGTCCTAACGCAGGATGACAAAACCGAGAGCACAGCTTTTCAAGTGCTGCCTATATGAGATACCATTTCTTAGATGGTTTAATAGTGGTTTAACCTGTGCTAATATAATGTTACTATTGTGTTTTGTAGGAGAAAATGGTGGTTTATTTCAACTGTGGTGGCTTTTTTCACAGATCAACCTACTTTATAGATCAGATTTATATGGTCCTTGCAATCTTCAGTGATTTGCTCTGGAAACAGCAAGATACCATGCCAGAGAGGCTCAGAAGGAAGATTTGTGCAATGGTTTTTATTTCCATTCTATACAAGGGAAACTGAGCCCAAGGAGGTTAAATAAATGGTCAGAATCACACAGGGCATTGGGCAGAAAAGGAAACTCAACTCAGACCTTGCACGTCCTAAGCCAGAGCACGAGCAGTGACATCCAAGGGGTAACCCAGGTTAGATCAAATTCTAAAGGGTATCATCAGTAGAAAGACATCTTCCAAGAAACACATTTCTGGCAGCCCTTCCCCTACCAGCTTTCTAAGCTTTCAAGCTGCCAAAAATGAATTGCTCTCTTTGACAAAGCTTTTGAATTTATCCAGGCTGAATCTGCTTCCCCTTCTGGATTCGAGTTATTAACCATCAGTTTTATCGACGATGCATCCAGCTACCACATACTCTTAAATAAAGACATTTTCCGCTGTTTTCTTTTGCACTTGGAAGCAAACAGAATTGCTTGAAATGTAGAGAGGTGACCCTTCTTTGAGAAGGGCAGGACTTTCAAGTAAATCTTTAGCTTAGAGTACTTTTCACAGCAGCAAGTTATTTTACTGAAGCACATGATGCAGTGGTTTTATATACCATTTATTTGCAGTCATGTAATGAAATATCTCTTCTTTGTTCCAGCCTGTTTCCAATTTAGTCACCAAGAAATAAAGGAATTCAGAGAATACACCCGTCTCTTATCTGGTGCAACAGCAATGTCATATTTTTAATTTTGAATGAGATGACTAAAAGTGCTTCATTAGCCAAAGATGGGGAGCTGTTATATGGCCTGTAGAAGTTGAAATGTCATAGAAATAAGTATAAATAAAGTTTTCATAACTGAACCCAATTACAGCCTGCTTCCCTTTACTTCATTTGGCATGAATTGCCTACAATAATGTAGACATTTTAAAAGGGGGTAGAGAAAATGTCTCTTCTCTCAGTCATCCTTGACTCAGGTACCAATTAGCCAGGATGGAGAAAACTTACCCTTGAAAAAACAATTTCCGACTGCTTAAAGTTGCAGTGCCGTCTCGCTGTTGTTCAAAATCATTTGGGCACCAAAACTGGGAGAAGTGTGAGGAAGACTTGCACCAAGGAAGACAGAAAGATGCTGCTTTTGTGCCCAAGCTTGCCAGTGTTTGCCAGGGGGATCTAACAGGCAGGAACCAATAGAGCCACCTGAGCACAGCGCCCTTAAAGCTGCTTTGACATGCTCTCTCTTGACATTCTTGATAACTGGTAGGGCTGCAGGTGGTAAAATGTTTGCAATGTCCAGCCTTTCCTTGTTCCACCCCTTTCCCAAACAAACAGCACGTGGTTGACAGCGCGATGCACTCTCTGAAGGTGGATGCTTTAAAAATGCACTGGGGTGTGCAACTGTGCCCTGATCTCTCTCAGGAGTGAAAAATAAAGGTATGCACAAATGTGTATGCTAATTGTGACCACAGGGGTTAAGTTCCTTTTTATTTATACACACGAGCAATCCGGTGAACATGTCACTTTTACTACTTCAAAATAAATAAATAAACAGATAGATAAACTCAGGCTAGCAAAAGCCCTGAAACCCAGCAACCGTAACCCTCTACTAATGGTTTGTGCCCAGAAACAGCGTACGTTAACAAGCCCATTTCTGCTGAAGCTTTTGATATTGCTGTTGCACTTGACAACTCTGATACCAAAGTGGCTCAGAAAATGTCTCTGCCGGCCTCGCTAATGCACAAACTGCCTCCTTGCACTTACAGAAATGCCTCTTGCAAGCACATACTGTGCAAACACGTCAGTGTTTATTAAATCTGTGGCTGAGATGTGGAGCGGCTTCAGTCTCCTCTGATACCAAGGCAGACAATGTTCTACCCCCTGCAGAATCAGCTCTTAGCTGGTAAATAATGCTATATTCTCATTCTTCTTCAAGTAAATTCCCTTTCTCTGGCAATCACACGCTCTTGGAGTGATGCCAGACTTATCCAAACGTGACTTGCCCTTTGGGGAATTTCCTTGAATATTTTCTCTTGTAGGGAGGAGAGAAGCTCAGAATTATGACACCCTGTATTCATATAAATACCATGAAATGGTTGTTTACAGTGAACTGCTTATCAATCCAGCAAAAAGCCCCACTGTGCAAATGATGTGAAGTGGTTACAGTAACAGGTAGCTCTTAAAGGACCTGCAGCTGAAACCCAGACATATTTATACTTGCTGCTATGAGGTTTCTGGTGCTCAGCATCTTTTTGGATCACATCATGATATTAACTGCTCAAATTTCCTGAGGGTTAAAAGACCGGGTTTGGACTTTAGGAGACAAGATAGAAATTATTCAACACTCCAGGGGCAAGTTCCAACAATCTCGTCAAGCAAATTAAATATTTAAGTTGAAATAGAGATGCTTACCGTGGTAAGGAATTCGGTCTGGACTGGAATTTCATGGCTGGTTTTGGTATGTTTAATCTTGGACCAAACGCTAGTCCCCAGTGCCCCAGGCTCAGAGGCATCTCAGCAAGGCCACCTCTGAACCTCAGTCTTCACTGAAACATGCTGCTCTATGAGGAGTGGAAATCCAGTTTCCCATGGGGTTGGACGTTGCATCTCCACATTCCTTCCCTTCCCCTCACGACTCTCTCATTTCCTCTCTGCCTGGCCAGGCAAGTGGCAGAATCTTCCCTGTCATGCTTGAAGATAGGCATGAGCTGACTGGGCGGTGGGTTTTTGCCTCTAGATAAAAGATAGTCTCACATAAGAGACTGAAAGTGTTTTTCCCTTTGCGAGGCTACCCTGGCGATGCGAAAGTTAATGTCCACTAAAACTTGTAGGATGGCATATCTGAGGGATCTCTGCTTCTGTCAAATGGGACTGAAAGTGATTGGTAGATTAAAGAAGTTCTTAAGTGGGTCACTGAGACAAGGTGGTAGCATAAGGTTTGGTTTCCTTTGCACCCTACTGCTAGAAACAGCTTATAGAAATTAACTTTTCCAGCTTACTTCTTTTTTAGTGCTTGAACTGTTATGTTCTTCTGCAGCCAAAAACCTCACTCCAAACATGGGACGTATTTTCTGCCTGGCGTCGGGTGATTCAGATTAATCTTGTGTCAGAAGCAAAAGTAGCAAAACTTAGTTTTGGTGCCTTGTTCTGCACTGTGTCATGTAGCTAAAGATGGACTGGTGGTAGGTGTCCACACCACAGGCTAGGGTACAAAGATGACAGGCTCATGAGGGTTTGAATCCATTCCTCTTCTCTCTCAGACTCGGCTGAGGGTGGAGACAGAAACAGGGATGGGCACATTGCAGAAGACCTGGAGAAGAGAGAGGGCAGAGATGAAGAACCTGAAACACACAGAATTATCAGCTCCATCAGGGTTCCTGCTAGTCTATTTGAGCAAGCCACCATAAAAACCAGTGCCATAAAAACCAGTGTCCTGCCATGGTTTCAAAACTTCCTCAAAATGAGTGTCCCGTGTTTGCTCCCCTCAGGCTGCTCACACACAGAACATGACTCCCACCCTTTCTGCCCCACCGTGAGACCTACAGGCCCCACTCCTTGCCAAGCCACATTACAATTACTGCCAGCACTGAATCTTTATTGCTTGGATTTGATCCCTGTGTTGCTTTTCCAGCTTGCTCTCCACACACCCTGTAATAAAGGATGGGCAGTGCCCTCACTCTGCTGTCATCCCTCCCCTCCTGCTGGGTGGTCAGTCCCAGGGGAGCACCCATGTGCTCCTTGTTCAATAGGTGGGGAGGCTATTGAAAAATGTGCAATGAAGAAGGAAGGTGTTCCAGATGCATGAAATGACACTGGGCTTCCTGCAGACGGCTGTGGGCAAAGCTCCAGGTGTGGCAAGTCCAGCTTTTAGTCCTGGCTTTTGTGTCACTGCCATCCCCCTCTGCCAGGCAAGGCCATGCCCAGCAAAGTCTGGGCTGCAGGAGAGTTACTAACACTTTAACCAAGAGGGTAATTTGCTTCCTCAGTTGAACTTTGTCTGTGGCCACCGTCTTCTCCGTTACTCAGTATTTTTAAGGTTGGGACCGGAGATCTTATGGAAAACATACTGTCATCCAATAATAAGTGAAATTTTAAGAATGGTGCTGAAGGTGGTCAGGTAAATTGGGCTTTTCTAGGCTTAAAGTCTATGACTGCAGCATCCTACGGCCCCAGTTCTCCAATTCCTTCTGTTCAACCAGGATGGATGAAAGATGCTGTCTGTCACTGCTGCTAATTCCCTGGTGTCATGCTGGTGGAGAGATGCTCCCATCCAGGACTCCCTCTCTCCTACCATCAAAGAAAGGTGGTGTGAGCCCATAAAACCCCTCACTGTTACTCTGGGTTCAACCACTCTACAAATAGCAATTAAAATTCATGAACTTGATTGCTCAGAGACAAGCAGAGGGAAATTGGACGCTTTTATCCCTATTCTCTGCTGGGTTTCTCAGACATAGGGTGGAAACCTCGGTGATCCATGAGCTCTGTTGAGCATCCTCATGTTATGAAGAGATCTGCTACTACAACCACAACTCAGTGATAGGGAAAAATAAATTATTTGGGCATTTTGAGGAAACAGCTGGCAGAAGAGAGACAAGATATTCTTTTTCCCCCTGTGGTGATAAATTTAAAAGCCATAGAAGCGGAAAGATAAACTGTAAGAAAGACTCACAAAGTGCATTGTTCATTTTGATAATGTTAAAAAGTTCCAGATCAACAAGTGCAAAAGCAGAACACGCTCCTGTCGGTACAACTCACAATGAAATTGGGCACGTGCTTGTAGGTGCTAAAGGCTGCCAGGAGGCAGGTTCTGATCTTTCAGCAGTCATGCTGAGGATTAAAACTGGTGGATGGATCTAGCTTCTTTTAAAAGGTGCAAAGAGTCACACACACACGCACCCCAAACCTTGTTATACAGCAGTAGCTGGAAACAGGAAACACACTACTAGAAAAAATTCTGACCCAATGGGCAGAACCAACCCAACACCTCTCAGCAAATGACTGAGGGTGCTTAATTTTAAGAGTTATTGGCAGCAATGATGGAAGGAAAAGGCAGAGAAAGGGAACATCCCCAGTGATCATGGCCTGGGCTCCTCGAGGCAGGGAGCTGGCTGGGCAGGCAGGACTGGAAACCATGAGCAAGGAGGCTGCTGCTGTGTTTTCCTACTGCATGGGGACTCTGTGAATAGAGAAGATCACACTGTGGAAATACCCTCCTCACTCCCCCAGCACACCAGCAAAGCTCTGAATGTGCAAGTTAACACCACTGCTGAAAGGTGAAAATTGGATTTTATTCCAAAACTCGAGCTGAGAGACTGAACTTCATTCCCCGTATACTTTCTTTCAAGAGTTTGAAAGCATCTGAGGACAGACTTGTCCAAGCTGCTCTGCTTCATTTTGAGCTGCTGCTGGCATCGCTGGTAGGACATCCTCCAGCTGCGTGCCAGCAGCCCACAGGTACACCATTTCCTACTGCCAGGGTAGGAAAAACTGGGACCAGTACAGAATCTGATTTGCAGTCTTAGTGCTGATGTGCAAAATGTTTCTTTGTAGCTGTTTCAGTAGGCAACAAGGGACAGAAATGTGGCCTTTTAATGCAAAAAGGCACCATATTTCATTATGTAAAATGTCAGCTTGCAGAGGGCAACATTACATGACATAACCCATATTTCAGTGGCCAGAATTAAGCAATGCCTTATAAAATGCAGGGTTTGTTTCAAAAGACGTTCTTCAGAATAGGCTGAAAGAGTTTCCAAAAAGTTGAGAATCAAGGGAATATTGGAGAAAAAAGTTCCTGAATTAAGATCAGTTCAGTAGACATACATGTTCTAGCATCCCCATTCTAAGAAATAGACTGTTCAGTTTATTTACTGAGGTATTTAGGAGGGAAACAAATGTCTTGCTTTTCTGCTTCTGCATTTATTGTTTCTAAGTTCACCACAACACAGGAGTCTTTCAGCCCTGGTGCTGAGAATGAGAACCCAGGAATCACACATCGTCTCAGCTACAGCAGGTACCAAGTCAAGGTTTTCCCTGGAATATTGTTCTCTGTGGCGGATGCTCCGGAGCAAGTCTGACTTTCTGCAAGATCTCTGTGCTCTCAGCTTTAAAGGACACTGTTTAAGGATCAGTGAAGATTGCCTAGAAAAAAGCCAATAACCATCAAGCCAAAGAGGTCATAAAGATCCTGAAATGAAATTTTATTATACAACATGTGAGATTCCTTTTATTTTGCTCTAAACCTCTTCAGCACTAGATGAAGTTTTCTCAGCTGAGACATCTGGCTGTGAAGCAAGTTCCAGAGGAGATTAGGTGAAACCGAATTTGGCCATCTAAAGGAAAAATCTGCAGTCCTTTTTTTTCTTTGTTTTTTTTTTTTTTTTGAGAAAGCCTTGC